CAATTTATTTTATATCAATAATATAGAATATTATATTATAATATCCAATCATTTAAGTATCACCATTTTTAGAAAATAATTCTGTTTCGTTTATAAAATATAAATATCAGTTGCTCAGTAATAAACAGATTTCAAGATCACTATGGATATGAAATAATTTTCAATTCTTATATTTTACAACATTTCAGTATTGTAAATTGTTCGCCATTTTCCTTATTTATGTGCGAAAATCACTTTGTAACATTAAATGTTGATCACCCAGTACACAGTGTTGCTGTATTATAATAAATATCATACGATAATTATATTATATTCATATCGTATAGTATATGTTCTTAGAGCGACGAACGTCTCGGGAAAGACCAACCAGATGAAAAATAATTTAATATAATATATTGCTATGCGCTTCAACATAGACGCTTTTTTCTTCTTTTTTATTTAAATTTATTATATCGATCTACCACTCAAAATTTACCCGAATAAGTAGTAGATGCGCGGTATTGTTATTTTTTTGCTTTGTCAAGAGTTTATTTTGTCTAGAACAAAAAAAAAGGTTTTTTTTGTTTTCACTCGATTTCACTTTTTTTTTTACCTACCTAAGTTACTCAGCATTATGTATTATTATTATACACACAAAATTAGACCGACTTCAATTATCATAAACATTTAGTATAGTATACAGCGATATATATATAAAGGAATACTTACACTTGTATAGTATATGGAGAACGAACGAATACCTTAGAAAGATAACGCGAACAAAGTATATAGGGACAAGCCTTTTATTCCTTTTGTTCTCTTGTCTATTTAAACGGCCACGAGTAGTTTTTTTTGCAAGACCTTTTTAAATTATAATTACTCATCGAAATATGTATTTATATTTTGCATTAAAGGATTCTGTCACGTCTCCTATACAATACACATATAATATGCATACTGCATTGGTACTTATTATTAAGTTTTACAGATTTCATCTGAATAATCCTATTATACTCTTTATACACCAAATCCACAAAAAAATATTACTTAATTATTATAAAATAAAATAGTTATATTATTTACGCTGTATAATTTTGCCTTGTATTTACATATAGTTTACTTTAACGTAAAAAAAATTGTATCTGATATTTTTCATTGATATTTACTGTAAGTTATATGCAAAATTGACAAAATAATAAAATTGAATTAAAATTAAAATTACAGTGAGATTTTATTTTATATTTTTATTTTCATGGCCTATACATGCATATTTCCTCAAAAATATTTTTAAAAAACTTTATTGAACCTCACTTAGAAACTTAACTTGGCAATTTCCTACTAAACCTTGATTAAAGTCCGTTTTGTGAACGTTGTATAATAATAATAATATGTAGCATGGGTTTTATTCAGTATTAACAATGACGGACTGTAGTAGTAATCCATGTACCATGTACAAACACTATAAGATTTCTGTAAATGTGTTTATGCGAGCAGGAACCTAATCTACGCAATTCCAAACCTAGGTTTCGGTTATAGCTAGGGTGGTACCTATAATATATCTTTATAATGTTGTAAGGCAGCTGCAAGCTTTCTTTATGTCACATAATGTACAGTGTACACAATATTATTTAACTTTCAAATTAAAATTTAAAAATGTTTAAATTATCACAGTGTATATTATATTACATTTTATCCCGTTAAATATAGTTGGTTATAATTTATTGTTAAAGTTTTGGGACATTATATAATATGTATGTATATATTATACATTTATACTACACAAAAAGTTGTTAGAAAAAAATAAAAAATAATAATTACTTTTTGCAATTAATAATATAAGATAACAAAATTATCATAATTCACAAATTCTGTAAATAATATTTAGCAACTTATTATTTATTAATTTTCCGTAACGTCATTAATTTTTGGATTTCATTAAGGACGCTTTGAAGTCAGATGATTTTTTTCCCTTTTTAATTGATTAAATTAATGAAAGATGAAATAAATACATAAATAAACTGTTACATCATATAATATTATTATTTATTATGTATACAGTATGCACTATCCTATGTTGGCGTTATTCCAAAAATGAGAACATTAATTAATTCGAAAACAATAAATTTGAATGATTATCGATGAACACGTTTTTTATGGTTGTTTGATACTACACCTTAATAATTTATTTATTAACCTGATCTAATAATTTCAAATAGAAATCAATGTTCCGTTATCCATGACTCTTTAATCATAATATAATATACAATAATTTTACACGGTACTTACTCTATTTAAATTATGAAATAAACCTATAAATACAATTTACAAAATCGTAATTGTTTTTACTTTTTAGTAATTGAATATTAATTATACTATAATAATTCACACTACACAAGTAAAAAAATTTAAAAATAAATAAGATTTTCTTCTAATATCTTCAATTCCGTAAATAGCTTTTATTGTCATGCTGTGTTTTCTTGTATTTTCCAAAAGTACCTAAATCGATTTTCATAAATCACACGATTCTAATTTGAAGGTAATACAATTTGGCTCTGGAAATGTGATATAGCAATTAAAAACAACATAATATTGTGGGTCTTAAATGCATATAATTACAAAATTAAAAAAATTAAAATAGTTCTAGGAAAAAATTATTACCTTGGTGTATTACTTAAGTGTAAAATCAATACATTTTTCATCAAATTTCTTGAATAATTTAAATAATTAACAATGACGTTCATTGTTGTATTTTTGTGAATAATACGTAGAAAGTGGAGGACAACAAATCATAGCTTGAAGAGGTTATATGGGGCACTTCAATTATTTACGAGGATAAAATGATTTCAATAACCTAGAATATATTATAAAACGAGGATCGTACAAGTTTGTCAGCCAAATAGCCAATGGATACCAGAAGATAAGCATAGCAAATAATTGAAAACAATATAATAATATATAATAATAATTGATTTTGTGGCATAAAATCCAAAAATTGTCTGGTGTAAAATAAAACTATTTGGATCAATGTCACTTACGTACCTATAAGTATCTAAAGTATCTAAATTATGTGATTTCCGTTTTAGAATATACCTGTATGTTTATAGTTGTGAAGTTAGGAAAAAATTAAGCTACATTCAATAAACGGTTTTAATATAAATATTTTAACATCAGTATAAACTATTTTAAGAATATTTAAAATATCGTGTTGAAATACCGCTTATACATTTATTAAAATAACTGTTTAAATAAAAAAATGTTTAAGACATTTGATAAATACAATATTTAATTTTTAGCCACATAATAAATGCAAAACGCTAGGATATGTTCGAAGCTTATTCATATCTTATCTAATAGTTTCATGTTTAGATTTGGTGACTTGGGTAGAAGTAAAAATGTCTCATCTATTCTCAGAATACATTTCTATCTACTTCAATAATATAAACAAGAAAGCAGTTCTTATATACTATTATTAATAAACCATAGCAATGCGTCTAACCATTGATCCGATGTCAGTTTAAGACACATGAAAGGTTTAATACAAAGTTCTCTTTAAGAATTTAAATCTAAAAGAAAGTATTTAGCTACAAGTATCAAAACTGAAATGAAAGTTTCAAATAGTAAAGAAATAAAGATTTTGTTAAAAAAAATATCCCTCTATATATTATATTTTATTTTATACGTTTATAAATGTGCTTAAAAATATGAAAAATATCCCATAGACGTAGGTTGTTTATTTATTTTTTGAAAGCAATGTTTAGAAATCAGTGATAAACTGCCCACTTTCAAAAGTAGTCAAACCATATATAAAAGGTTTATGCTCTTTCCCATGGAGCTTATGATCAATCAGGTTGACGAGGGAATATACAACCCTCTTTAATGAAATTCGGCTGAGATACCGATTTATCCAACAAGAACCCCACGTCTACATTCGTACAGACGAAATCAACCCCCTACGTCGAATAATGAGATATATATATTCCTACACACACCCTTTTTGAGATCGTTTCTTCTTTAGAGGCGAAAAATATCTCCAATGCCTAAAATATACTCAACCTAATCTAAATTTCGACATGTACCTACCCAACTGTACAACACTCAAATGAGTATTTATATCTTGGTCGCATTTTATTAAACTAATTGCAATTTTTACGGAAACGGTCGTTGTTGTAACGAACACGGAATGCCAATTGGTTTTAGAGGTTATATATTTTTTTTTAACCTAACACAGACTCTCTCCTGGTAAGACTACGGAACGTGACCCATGCACGAAAAGGGCCTGTCGGTCTGTCAGTCAAAAGGAGAATACGATTGAAGGGAGTTTTTCCATTAGTTTTATTGAATTGAATTATTTATCTGATACAGTCGAGAACAAGGATGAGGTATGCCAAAAATATCCAGAAAATAATACATAGGTATAAATGGTATTACATAAGAGTATATAATATATAATACAGATTAAGTTTCAATTTATTGTGTATGATATATATTATATCATATATGATGCTGCGGCGATTGTGGAGGCGGTGAGTATTTTTTCAATGCCGCCGGACAACTCACGTGCTTTTGACAGTTGGTTCCAGATAAGACCTTTCAATGACATTAGTGACTTCATTTGGACGGGGTGGGATTTCCTATTATTTTTTTTTTAAAACTATTTTGTGCGCCCTTTTAATATCTCGCTCGTACGCGCTGATGCAAAAACTTCCGACAAACCGTCGTCATATATACCTCCTGCACCGTTCTCCCAATCACTCCCTAAAACTGCGTACCAAAAATGGATCCGGAAATAATTTCTTCGGCAAAGTGACAGAAGGCGAGATAATTTTTGGGGATTTGGTGGCGGCGACAACGGTGAAGGGGTTGGTTGTGCGTGCGCCGTGATACCGATCCGTTGTGTGGTCAACCCAGAGCTACCATTACGTTAATTAAAAAAAAAAAAACAAAAACCCCCTTTACATAATATTATTATTATTATTACTATTATACAACTATCTGTAATTGAATATCTGTGTGTTTTGTAGAGGGTTGCAAGTTCCCAACCAGATGGGAGGGCGTGTGGTTCCAGTCCGGTATCCGGCAGTCGATCGTCGTACAGGCTAACAGGTTCAGCATCAAAGGCAAGTGCGTGGATTCAGACGGTGACAAGTTTCTGCTATCGGACGAGTAAGTTAAGAAGCTTAACGTTTACATTACGTTATATTAAATATGTTATAATTATGCTGGTATATATACCTACGCTACTGTAACTGCGGTTGTCATCATTATCGTTTTATTGCACAGCGGCGATGATGTTACTTTTACCACTTTTACCATTTTACATTTATACCATAATAATGTTTGTGTTATTACTTGTAACACACACATACACACACTCACCACACACATCTAAACCGCTGTGCTCTGTTAGATATAAATCGTCGTTTGATTATGTAATAGAATATAGGTCACATATTCTAGAAATAAAAAAATTATCAATCATGAATATTATTGTATTATTCCATTACAACGTGATACAAAATATACACAACTGACATTGTACACATTTTCTCCTAGTGCACTATTCACGTGATTTTGGTATCAATAGTTTTTATAAATTCAAAAGATTATCCACAGACAAGACCTTAAAAATTGTTCCAAGTATTTATCCTACTCCTTTCTCGCTGTGTCTGTTGAAATTACCATACATACCTATTGTAATGAATTTAATAATATTAAAAATATTATCATATTCTGCTTAAAAAATATTTATCAGCAAAGAGTTTTAGAGAAAAATTAAGCTCAAAGCCTGCTATCATATATTATAATATCTAATATACGTCTATTATATTATACTTATAATAATACAGTAAAACCGCAATGGATAGATTTCTCTCAAAAGTACAGGCTTTTAAACTCCCCCAGCAAAAATACATATCTCAATACAATAGAAGACAGGAGTTAAAATCTCTGAATAGCGGACACTCTTAATAGGAGACGCAAAGAAAAACTAAAAATAAAAAAGATTAAATTATAATGAAGAAGAACCAACCATGCAGGACGACGGAGAATACAATAGAAAATTAAGAAAAAAAATGTTTTAAATAAAAAAGATTCAATTCCATGGTAACCAATTTACAAATACACAGTTAATTAATAGTGAAGAACGGAAAATAACTCATTTCTTTTAATACCTTCTAATAATAATAATAATCTGAAAGAAGTATAAAATAAATATATTTCGGTGTATGTTTATAGTATATTTTATAATTTTTCTTAAATTTTCAGTAGTGCCCATTCTTAATTCCCCAAGACTGTCCACTATAATAATATAGAGGTTTTCATCTTAGACAAAATTTAATAAAAATGTGTAGATTAACTGCGAACCTGTAATACAACGCTGAAGCCTTATCGTAATATAGCTACTACGTTATCGAAAATATATTTCTTAATTATATGTACCTATAATAGTAATAATTAGTATTTTGAACATACATTTTTTATTAACTTTCCGTGTTCATATTATTTAAACGACTTTCACACACGAATACGCGTATGATGCACTAGAAACTTCAGTTACCTACAGTGCTATATTATGCAGATCAGACGGAACATTTGTTCTAAGTTATTGTAAGCTTGACGTTTATTATAATATAAGAGACAGCGTAATTTTTATAAACAAAAAGTATTACGCTACGTATTAAAACAACATGTATTGCAACAGATATGGAATTCGGTGTTGTACTGTTATGTTTCGCTAGTATAATACATGGCAACTCACTTACATAATATTACCATGTTATAACATTAGGTACGTTACCTAGTATCGTTTTAAAATTTATATTAATTTAATTTTTCTGTTCAATTTTTTGTTAGATATCTACGTATAGTATTTTCGTAAGCAATATTTGTTTTATTTTTATGACTAGGTATCGTCGCGCGTCGTGCAGAAAATAACAAAAAAATAAATAAAAATAAGTACGTCAAAACCAGCTGCAGCAGAGACTGAATATAATATATTTTGTATAGCAACCGTATTTCATTTCGTTTGGTATTGCGAAATAGGTAGTTACAGTATAAAAACGTGGGATACAGGGATTTATCTTGGTGAAATAAATATATAAATATCTATTGGTATTTACTTAACAATTTCAAACTGGCACGTACAGAAAATAAACGATTTTTGAGAATTTGATTCCTTCTATCAATTATTATAGGTACCGATAGAAATTTAACATTCTAAAATATCACGAAAATAAATTATGCAAAAACTACTTACGAAACAAATGAACCCACCTAATTTTATTTTATTGTCCCTCTCAAAAGCATGATGAAATAAACATAAGTTATACCACCGTATAACTGATCGATTTTTATTATTAGTTAGGTGAGTTTGTAACTCGCCCTATAGTATCGCGTTTCACATATTATTCATTATTCACTATCCCGGTAACAAAATGTTGGTATTGCGTTATCAACAAAATTGAATATATTCAATTCTACACGACATATGGTGAGTTTTGAAAGCAAAAGATCCCACTCCAGCATGTGTTGTCACTTGTCTCCATCTTACAAAGTTACAAACGTACAACATACCTAGCTTATTTCCATTGAACAGTTCTAATTTTGTCATATTAGTTTCAACATTAAGCCAACTCCACTGTGCATCGTGTAGTGTAAAGTCAAATGAATTTAAATTATTGGTAACTTGTTACAGATATTTTTTTACCTGAGTATTAAATATAATACAAAAAAACGACACGACACAACATGGTTTAGAATAAACCCGGATTTAGAGTGGATTATTGACCTATTATCATTCTCAAATGTAGGAACATTATCTGTTTTTTCAATATTTTATTACTCAACCAATAAATTATCGTTTAAAATGTTGGTAATGACTTGAGCGTAATTAAAAATCAGATGCAATAATCTTAAGAAAATATCAAAATAAAAGGTTAGGAGGTTTGATTAGAATAATTCTAATAATCATTAGATCATTGTTAAAACTAAAAACGCAATAAATATTTAATATGAGTTATCAAAATATAAAAAATTAGTTTTTTTTTTTTTGTAGTAATATTGTTATATAATATTCGAGTTAAAATCTGTTCAATGAATTAGGTTGTCATTAAATATTTATAAACGGGTTTTCCACGAAAACTGTAGTTGATGAATGTTTCTATATAATGGTAAAATTCTTGTAGTCATAATACATTTACAATCGTGATAATCTGTTAACGACTGTAATTCTGTCGATCAATCATCTCGTGACTACTTGAAAAAAAGTCATTCAAACTGTATATAAAATAGTGAATATAGATAAATCTACGGAAAAAGATTAACATATTTTGTCCCAAAACAGATCAATACCTCCGTAAAACTATATTAACGTGTAAGTTAAATTAATAAATAAAAAAACGACGACATTTAGCTCTGTCCAATTTTAAATCTTAGTTTTTTTTTTTTAAATAGCATTTGATTGTACTCGATGGCCGTGATTTGTATCTTTTCAATACCTATCATTATAATGTATTATAAGTTTTCTTAAAATGTACGAAATACTAAAATATGAATTTAAATTACAAGCATCTTTCGTTCTGATCAAACTAATTAAAACGCAGTCAAATCTGTAATGTATTAACTGTTATAAAAGTTATTATTATAAATACGCTTAAAATTTTACCTTTTAGACTGAAAGAAACTTAAAATTTAAAACATAATCATAACTATGAATATTTCATTATTCTCAAGTCATAAATTCGTTGAGTACCTATTATTGCTGTTCGTTGAGATAAACCCTCTCAAATTCACTACCATAATTTAGGAATTCTTGAGGGTAGTATATTAGCTCCTTTTCGACATTTTTCAATCCAACATTACACACTCTGAAAACACAGCTTTTACTACCTTCGCTGACGAGTGACGATACAGCCATTATTTCAGCAAATATCGACCTAAACAGAGCCTTTAAAGTACTAAAAACACAGCTTAATGAAATTCAAAACTGGTTCAACTAGTGGATAATTAAAATAAATCGAAACAAATTAGCCCACTCAACTTTCTCCCAACGTCCAGGTCTTTGCCCCCTTCCATGACTCTTAAAACGACATTATTCACTCAAAAAAGTCACTCGATATCTTAAAGTCCACCTAGACAACAAACTTATATGGGACACATGTATAAGTTTAAAAAAAAAATCCCTCAACCTTAACTCCACAAACATAGATACCTCCTCAAATTATGTATTCCACTGAACATCAAACTCTTTATCTATAAACAAAGTATCCACCCATCGATGAGCTACAAAATTCAAGTATGGGAACGTCCAAAACCTCCAATATTATATAATTCCAATCTAAATGTCTAATAATAATTTAAAAAAATACTTAAAAAACAATGTAACTTTAATTTTACAATGAATGAGCTTATTTGTATTTATTTTACAAAACGTTTTATTTTTCAATACAAAAGTATGATAATATTGATGTAACGAAAAACATTTTTTTTTTTTTAGTACACATACGAATATGAGCATATTTATATTATTTTGAGTGGAATTTTTATTTTAAGTTTGTAAGAATTGTAACTCTTATAACTACTTTTGTTTTAACGAGATTATATTTTAAACACCGAGAGTTTATTGAAAATTTCAAATTTATCAAAACTTCAATCATTTACATTTAATGAAAATCCTTTATAAATTCCAAGTATTTTTTTCTAAAATCTATATGAAAGTAAAACATCTATGAGTATGAAGAACGAATAAGATGTAATCGTTATATTATTAAAACACTATTATAAACTTAAATATTTTATTAATTTAAAAATCCATTTTACAAAACAAATATTATCTTAATGTTTAGTACAACAATAATATAGGTACTTAAATAGGCATCCAAATTCGAAGGCATGAAAATTAATTAAATAACTTTATAATGTGTACAATGTACTTATTTTTATCCCATCAATAAGTATAGTATAATATTATTATGATACTTATTAACATTAGTTAGGTACTGATAATTAATTATGTTGTATATTTTGATCTTTTTAACACAATATTGAATTAGGTTTAGGCATTATCCCTCAATACTCGTGTTTATACTAATAATAATAACCATAATAATAGCTGTGATCGTTTATACAAAATAATATATTAGTCTAAAGTTAACAACAAGAACGCTTTTCTCTAAATCAATGAAATTATAGAGTACCACCAATATATTAAGGATTTAGTGTGAACCGCTCTCATTAAATATTTGTACAAAGTTTCTTGGAGCACCCCTTTTGAAAACCTCCAAGTCCCATATTAATATAATGTATACGTTGTATTCTTGGTAAATGTCAACGAAGGCGATAAAGTTTTCTTTATCTATTGACTTGTAAGCAGGATTCAAAGGACACAGTTCCCTTTGCACCGGGCGAGATGTGTACGTAAGTGCCACGGGCGCACTGCTACACGTCGTGTTAACTTTTTTGAACTCTGCAGCGTTGTTGTCATAACGATATCCAAACCCAGTAACCTAAAACTTGTTCAACGAATATGTCCCGGCGAGACATCGATAACTTCCCCGCGGATATTAATTTCCGTTATTCGCCGGATCGACGACGGTCTACTGGTTCGCACGTTTCGAAATATATTATAATATTTATAATAATATAGGACGCGTATTGGATAACAGTAGTTATGTTCACAAACTGTTTGTAGAAAGGCTATAATAATATAGGGATCCACGGAGATCCAAACATTCGGTTGATAATTTAAATACTGATTTTAATTCGTCACAACTCGAGACTTTTAGCAAACATTCGCATTTAGGGTTGTTAAAGTTTGATACACATAATAATAATTACGAACAAACATTTCAAAGTTATTTCATTTCTATATATATGTGTATGTAGCCACATGAGGATGTTGTAATGCGAAATAATAGTAAACGATTAACGAAAACTATACGTGATAACATTTAACTCGAGTACCACCAATTTATAATATATTTCATATTTGAACATAATTTTTAGTACTTTTAGAGATAAATTGGCGTAAAGTTAAGCCCGTGAAATATATAATATTATACTAAGCTCGGTTTTATTGAAAAAAAAAAAATAATAATAATATACTTAGGTGGATTGACGCCAAAAGGATTTTATGTTCATCGGAGCATTACGTTATTTATGGAGAAGTCAATAGTGTTATAAGATGAATCGGGTTGAGCTCCGTACATGGCGTGTCGAGTATGGAAAACGATAATCGTAAAACGGATCGTCTCCCGTCCCATCGTTATTTTTCAGCCCTTAAATATACACGCCGACGCGTATAAGCCTTGTATATCTGTATATATTTGCCTCGTCTAACCTTAAAATAATAATAAAATATATAAATAAATATATGGTCTGGATTTGTACGTATTTAAAAATCCAAAATAAGTAAATGAATAATGTGTTATCAAAATGTTAAGGAACGTTGGTAAATTGCAAAAAAAGTTTGAATCGTTCATGCATTTAAAAGTTCAATATGTACATGTATACTGTATACAGTATTCGTTATTATTATTAAAAAAATATATCTACAGCATATTATCATCTAAAGTCGTACACAACAAATTGAAAAATACTTAACAATTCACTAGCTGTGTATAAAATATCAGCATAAATGTGGATTTGTTTTCCTTTTTAACCTTTGTAATCTGCAGCAAATGAGTCCTAGTGTGAACAATATTACTCTTCAAAAAAAAATAAATGTGGATTTACGATAATTCGCAGTATAGTCGTTTAGTATATAAACNCTGTGTATAAAATATCAGCATAAATGTGGATTTGTTTTCCTTTTTAACCTTTGTAATCTGCAGCAAATGAGTCCTAGTGTGAACAATATTACTCTTCAAAAAAAAATAAATGTGGATTTACGATAATTCGCAGTATAGTCGTTTAGTATATAAACACGTGGGTTGAAATAACCGCAAATAAAATAATCATTTGAAATGTGAAAGAGTCAGACATCAGAGTTGACATCGATGCATTCACATAAAAAAACACGATTTAATTTGATATTTTTGATTACTTGGAGGAATAGCGAAGTATAGAAAAATTCAAGTATTGTATTTGTAACAAAATATTATGTAAAAGTATGTTTGTATAATATAGTTTATTCAATATCTTTTGAAACATATTTAACGCTATCAATAGTCAAATGTGATACATTTTTCCTAATAAAAATATTTTGCATTAGCATCACATAATATTATAATATAGATACGAACATTGTATAGGTAGTATACTGCAGGGTATAACTGAAAAAGTTGTCAAATGTTAGTATTAATTATTATGTTATCAATTATAATCAATATTTTGAAATGTTGCTTTTTACTTTAAGTAGGCATTGACAATCGTAAATACCAGAAAAAACATTTTTTTCTCAAAATATACTATTATTAGAACAACAATTACCTTCAGTTATTTCTGTGGTTATGCTTGGTTACTAATACTGACTATATTTATCTATAATATATACGTACATACCTATTATATACATACATAATGTATTTATATATTATATTATAAACCAATATTCATATTGTAAATACGTGTGGATATCACATAAGATTTGAGGGGAGGAGTGGGTATTGGATGCTACATTTCTTTTTCACTCGATAAAAACGGATTTCGATTTAACAATCCCTTCTGCCGATTCCAATACATTTGTCCCGGGGTACACGTGCGTTAATGATTTTAAAAACGAATACATGGCCGCCGTGGGCGTTTGATTGAAACCGATTTAAAAATCGCTTTAAGTGCATTTTTCTAAATACTTATAAATCCGATCGAAATCGAATTTCATGTAATATAAGTTTCCCGGAGGACGTTATTTGTTCTATATTACCTACTACACGCAACTGCTTAATATCATCAATGAAGCGCGTTTGAGAAGATAACGTACCGTTTCGCTGATATTATTACAATAAACAATAGTATTTCATTATTTCGTGAGGCGAGAAAACTCTATATTACCAATGTAAACGACATGAGAACAAACTATGTTCTCTGTCGCTCTTGCGTTTTCCGATCTAACACTATCTAACCTATACATAGGTATAACTGTATAAGTATTCCGGCGATTTCTGCGATTCATATTGCACGGTAGGACGACCGACGACTACAATAATATATAGTATATTATAGTATACATGTAGTCATTCTGTTATTATTTATTATTATTACTATTATTATTGTTGCTGTCGTTGTGCGGGCGATTATATCATACGATAAAGCACGGGTATGACGAAAAATACGGCCACTACCACAATAACAATAATAATACATTTAATATTATTATACAGTATAATATATTATATTTCAGCTATTCGTTTATTGTATTTTTCGCAGGAAAAAGCCGTGTTACCGGTGCGTGGTCATTCACGAGAAACATCACAACGTTCTCCAATACAAAGAGAGTAAGTCGCCGAGATATTATATTGACATATGTATTGTTGTATGTGGGGCTGGAGGACGGGTTTAGGTGCAGGTCCCGAGGAAACATAGCTGCCAAGAAAAATCTGACCGAACGGGTCCCTTAGGTATGGTTATATGTATATAATACATATATTCTATACATATATGTTTAGGTGTACCATAGCCCCCGTGCTTATTATATACGCGAAACAATCGATGAAGACGATGTTTATCGGACCGTAAAACCGGACAAGCGATTCAATTTGTGCGTACGCGATCGCTGTGGTCGTAAGAGATGCGGCTGAAGGGATCTTTGAGGGAAGGGGAGAGAAGAAGTAGGAGTAGGGTTAAAAGTATATAATATCTGGTGTGCGTTTGTGTGGGAATCGGGAAAAATGTTTGACGACGTATTACGCAGCGGACGAAAGGATTAAGCACAGGACGTAATACCCCATCGTGGTAGCAAAACGCTATAAACCGCTGTTGGTCCAAAAACCGTCGTTAATAATTTATTAGTAATTATTCATGATATAGAGGTGTATAGACCGTTTACCGTAAAGGATTTTCTAGTTTTTCAAATATTATTTAAAAAATTTGAATTAGGTAAATAATCTTGTTAACAATTTTTCTTACCTAATGTACACTGTACAGTAAAAGGTAATAGTAACAAAATTGTGCCATACCAGACATAATTAGTTAAACAATTATACACGTCGTGTTCGTATGTGTCTACTAGCTTAACACATTATTTTCCAAGCCATAACAATGATCACTTAAACTAGGCAGTTTGGAAATCAACCGAACATTTATGAGACGTCAAAAATTTAAAAAAAAATTCAACTGTTGGGGAGTGGGTACCTTTGCACTGTCCGGTGTTATTGTGAACTGCTGGCTGTCGTATAGTAAACACAACAGTTGTTACAATCTCATTGCACGACAATTTACAGCCTTCTGCAACGAAATGGGCACGCTGAAGACCATCTGCCCGCTGATCACCGGCGACGCACTCCTGTACTCCATGTTCCGAGAGTCCGGAAATCCCATGCAGTGCCCGTTCAAGCCACCGTACACGTTCACGTACAACCGCGGTCACGGTGACTGCAGGAATCCCGTTTCCACGGTAGAGGCTTGTACCCAGGATTCGAGGCTCTTGATCCGGTACCAGGCGTGTCCGGATGTCGAAGGGTCGGAGAGCGCCCGTGAGTATTTATAATCATATTTTACATTATTACAGTGAAACGTCGATAACTCGAAGGAAAGTCTTAGCCCCGCTTATCAAAATATACACAAAACTTTTTCTATGACTCGTAATTTCAATAACGAGAAGTTTTTTCTTTGTCCCCGACCTGTGCGAGACATCAACGTTTTGCTGTATAACATTTATCATGCACAAGACGTGGTCTATGATTGGAATAAGTCACCGTGGTCAATAATATTGTTAGACGAAAATATTATTCGCACGGCGATTAATATCGATGATAAATGTAACAATATTTTGTGCAGTAAATGTTGGTCTAAGACGACTGTAATTATCCGACAGAAGAAATATATTTCTCGCCGAATATTTATTTCATTGATCTTCATAGAGTAAAACAATTTATAATAGGTACAATCAATGTTAAAAAAATTTGAACAAGGTATTTAAAATTAAGTAAATAAAATATGTATTCACAACAAAAAAGGTTTAAAATTAAAAAAACGTACTATGAATTATATATTTGTAGAATAATATGTAATATATTGTATATTATATTTGTAGTTGATGGTTGTATGAACGTTTTTTTGTATAAAACACACCCCCGATGAACTTCCCGTCCTATATCGTTTAGTCTAAACTTTTACCTTTAATTGAATATTATATTTTATAGTTGGCATAGTTGCATATTACAAACTTTATATTTTTAGTAACTTTTTTTTAAATTTAAATTAAATTTTTATACTTTGGTTGATAAATTGTCGTGGCTTGGATTTGACCCGCGGTCACTACTTGGTCACCATTGACGTACAAGAATCTCTGTCACTCCATCAATTGTATTTATTGTTCAATAATTTAAATATTTATATGGAAACATTGAAAACTTATTAAGTAAAAGAGAGGTCACTATTAGTAGTACTATTCTTGAAAATAAAGACCAGTATAATGTAATAGCTAATAACTCGTACACGATAAATTCATTACCTTTACTAGTCTACGTTCATTAGTTATGCAAATGGCGAGACGTCGCCATTGCTACTATAGCATACATTTATTGTCGTTGGCCAACAATATTTTTGTGCACAATAACCATATTTACTATCAATTAATATCAAGTGAACATTTTTTGAGATTGACACTTTATATCCATTATAATATTTACTTATTATAGGTAAATATAATTGATGAACGACTATATTATTTGATTTCTAAAAAATAATTTTAAACTAATTTATCACTTATCTAACTAAACAACAATATCCATATTTTCAACTTTGTTTTTAGCCAAGTAGTTAGCAGGTATTTTATGATTACATAACCTACCTAGGTACGTTATACTTTGGTCATATTTATACTATACTATTACAGTACGTTTTATTATTATTATTATTTTCTCTCCCTCTCTATCTTTTGAGTTCTCCGACTGTTTGCATATTTTACCATGTCGCCACACCGACCGCGTTTTGTGGCGAGTTTAGGTTCTGAAACCGCACGCGAAAAACACGACATGAGAAACGTTTTAACCCAGCTGCTTACTTACGCGCGTGCCCGAAAACTTTCGTTTCTGCGAGTATTATATAATTATTATTGTTTCCACCAAAATTACCTGAAACCACGCTTGATTGACGAAGAAAACCCGCAAAAATGTTAATATTACATTTAGATACCAATCATCAAATGACCACTGTACCTAATTCCGGATTTATATACTTCCCCGCAAATGTCGTGATATGTAGCAATCCACTTTTAGTGTACCTATCGACTTCATACTATATATTCCTACATTCTACTATAACAATATTCAAACTAAATTTAAGTACATGATTACTATATTAAGGTCTTAAATAAAGACTCGACTGGCCAAATTATTTCTCTAATAATTTAAACATACCCTAAGTCTATTATTATCATGTAAAGGACTATTTGAAACGCAAAACAATATATTTTACTACTGACGTAATTATTTTAATAATTTTCATCGATTTTGTGATTTTTTACAGTCGAAAAATGTATCTAAATCACAATAAAATAACATATAATAGCTGCATATGTTAGCTTTAATGATTTATTACAAATTATTTGGTCCATTAAATGTAAAAATAATAACTAATATACTATATACTTACTAATGTCATAAATAATGTTTTATCACCAAATAAAAAAAAATTTGTACAGCAAATTATATTATGTATGGGCAATATGTTCAATTTAACAATTATTATAAAATAGTAAATACAAAAAATAAATTATAATATTGGTAATAATCCTAGTAACAATACATTTAAACTTAAAAGTGTTGTCCAGTGGTCTCAAAACACTTAGCTATTTTTAGAATTAACTATAGTTGAATGTCTAATACAGATTATAATTTATGATGCGTTTGATGTTTAGTCGAAGAAGTTGAGTGCATTGCCGGTTGGAAAGAGGGTTCGTACCGATTCCTCGTGGGTAGGGTTCACCACAGCAACGGTATACCAATGTCAACAGAAGACCGGTTTAAGTGTTTTATATACGAGCGAACGACATCTCAGAGACAACTGAAAGGTTCTGGTTCTTCTGGAGACGTCGAATACAGAGTGGCACAGTCCGGCGACGCCACGTGCAGTGGACTTTTCAGTCCTCTCGAAGGGTCAAGGACTATGATATTAAAAAAAGGTTCGTCCTTAAATGAGCTTAGAATATTAATTTTCAAAATTAATTAGTTAGTAGTCAATACAAATAAAGTTCAACTAATTTCGTGAAATTGTTTTTACTATTGTTTAAATGTGGACGTACAAATACATAATGTAAAAACATGTCCTTTGGTAATTATTGTAACACTACTTTTTAGGATCGTTCAATAAAATTTAAATATTATCAACATTAAGTCACACCAAAATAATAGACTTTGTTTGCTTAAAATGAAACCAAAATAGTAAATATTTTTATGATAATCATAACAAAAACAAATTGTCGGTATTTTACATAAATTTTTCTAATCTCATTTCACGAGTTTTAAAGGATATATTTGATTTCAAAATAGAGTTAAAGTTAGTTCAAAATACGGGAAAAAGTTAAAAATAAGTAGATTCAAGTAAAAATATCAAATATCAAACAGGAATTTTTTCTTTAGTCCATTTTGAAATTTTGAAAGATTTTGATTTATCTGGTTTCAATATTTTGACGATAACAGTTTTAGATTACCAAACACTGATGGTATTTTCTGTACCTACCTATTGATTTATCTATTGGATTTTCACGCAGAGACATTTGAGACGAAATGCAGCTTCCCGTTGTGGCTGACTGAAAACCAGAGGTGGCGGACGTTGGATCACGGCAAAACGTTCACGTTCCTCCATCACCACAACAACAACACGTTGAAGCTGGTGTCCAGCTCGTTAGATCGCGTGTTTGCAGCGCAGACCATACAGGCATCACACCAGTTCTTCTACAATCAGCCGTTGGTGGCACCTCTGCCTGGACACGAGATGAAATTCTCCTGTCAGCAGGAAATGGAAGAGTTACCGCACCGGTTCAGGGTGATGGCGCACTACGTTACCGGATGGTAAACAACAATATAGTACAATAATATTAGGGATGAGAAGTCGTTACAGTATTATGACGATTTGGGTAGTATATTTTTTCCGCGTCTTCTGCTTACATCTAAATTAGCTAAATATCCGTTTTAGGTACATACATTTATACTTATAGGTTATGAGTTTTTTTTTTTAATCATATCAATAGCAATTATTTTAATTTTCTCGAAAATACAAGTCGCTTAAAGAATATAATTATTAAATTTTTTTGATATTAATAGAAATTTTTTTTTTGTCAATGTCTTTCATTGATTAGCTTTTTTTATTTTGTACGTACCTACATAATATGAGTTCAAACGCACAAAATGTTTGTGTTTGTCGCTATAACTTCTCATCACTAATAATAATAATTTATACGTCGTGCGATTCGTACGTTTCTCACGTTCAACCGGTACATTATGTTGTCGTTGTTTTATTTTCTTTCTTATGAATACGCGCAGTCAAAGCGGATACATTTGTTTGGACTTCCACCGGAGGGCGCACGACTTGGCAGAACTTCAAATGGGTAAGTCACCGCCGCCCTCACAGACACGGTCACATGTGGGTCAGCACAATAACAGTATAATAATAATAATAATAATAATACGGTATTTTTTTTCACTCCAAAATCAGGTCAGCCGAGCAGGAGACCGGAAGACGCGTGTAACTCCCCCAACTTTGATGCGCACGCTACGGATTCAATTACGCTAGTGGGTAAGTCGTTGATTGCAAAAATATTTCAAGTGTTTGCCGAGAGACCGAGTGCAATTTCACGTTAACCTTCTAAAACAAATACTGATAGACTGCAGGGAATGCGGTGTTTACAAATAATACAGTACACACGATGAATATCAAGCGTTGTAGTTCAAAATCTAGTTAACCGACTGTTTTTTTTTTTTTTTTTGGTACTAGTTACCTACTACATATTATTATTATTTTAACAGAATTCTAGAAAAAACTGTTCAAGCTATTGTATATTCTACAATATTTATACATGCATATTATATTAAAACAAATCTTCTGTGTTTGAATTGAATTTCAGCATCATCTATACTCGTGTAATTCTATTGTGATGACATCAAAAAAAATTGGTATTACATTTTCCAAAGTAGTAATTTTTGCACAAACAACAGTTTGTTATCTACCATGTTTTCTCTGATTTCACGTGTTAGAAAGTCCTTTATTTTATTTATTTAGCAGATTCTTATAAAATGAATTTGTTACAAATTGAATCGGACATGATATTGAACTAAAAAAATAACATTGTAAACTTGATTTTATTTGTATTGAATAACGTTGTGTTTTTTTATCCAATAAGATATACAGAAGTAGTGATTTTTATTAATAATATTGCAAAAATTAATTATTTTTACTGTTGTATTTATATTTTTTGATAAATACGTAGTAAAATTATATTTTGTGATGATGCAATCAACTTTTGTATTAAACTCAAATTTCGAAATTTAAAATATATAAAATGTTATTTTGCCATCTAAATAATATTAGATTAGTGGTTTTTAGTGATTTTCAAAAAACCCACTTCCAAGTTTATTTGAGAACGTACTTTTTTCATTACATTTTATTCTTGTATTAAAACTGTGTAACTGTATATTACGTTTCCTTTATAGCTTCCAAGTCAGACTTTCGAAATTGCCCTTATAAAGGAATTTACACGATAAAAAAAGTCAGTAAAAGCATTTCGTGGAACGATGTATCTTCAATTTTACCAAGTAAAACAAATCTAAATGTAAGTACAATATAAACAACCAATATAACTAGTGATCAACGTTGCCAAAAAAAAAATTGGGGAAGCTCGGTTTTTTTCTGGAAAAATGGGAATATAAAAAAAAAGTAATCTGCATTTATCTTCAAGTATTAATTTAATATAAATAATTACATAATCACGATACTTGTTGAACAAACATCCGTATTGATTATACCTTTGATTACTGAACACGTCATTTTACTGGGAATAAGAACCAAGAACTACATATTATAATAGATAAATACATAGATAAATACAGATACAGTTTACTAATACATTTCTATTTTATACTTTACTATACACCCTTTTTTTTCGAGGTTCATTTTTCAAACTTGAGTATTTTTTTTATGCTGAAAACGCTAGTGCAATCATAATTCAACGCTTGGCTTTAGTTTTAAAGCTTAAGCAATTTCAAGTTAGTACGTATACTATGTAGGTCATAATATAGTTTAATTTATTACTAGAAATTGTTTTATTTAAAGTAACGTTTTGTTTCTGTCCATTTTTTTAATTGTGACTTTTTATACTTATAAATTATTTTAAGCATAAATGAGTTTTTTAATTTCAGGAAAGTCCCTTTTTAAATTTTCTAAAATCATGTTTTTCCTGAAATGTACTATTTACAAGGCCTCTGATTTTCTCATATTTTTGGGGCTTTGTATAAAACAATTGCTTTTTCCCTACATTTTCCAACCTTTTGGTCCTTAATTACTAGTATTAAATACATACATTTCTCTTTAGTTACCGGTGGACTTATTAACTTCCGACAATCATCCGTCTATTGTGTTAACAACGACATCGCCGCCTTCGCCCAAACGTCACTCTTCCGAACACTACGAGAAATCCTCGGACGATTGGAGTGTGACGTACAAGAAGTTACAGCCTGACTTGCCAAGTCTGGTAAGGTCCAGAAAGAACATAAGCAAGGAATTCGAAAGGCAATCGGAATACGACGACGACGAGGAGGTGATATTGCGCAGAGTCAAAAGGAAAGGTCGAAGGATTTTGAGCAGCAAAACAGTCGCCGACGAAGAATGCAAGTTGAACTTGACTTCGATTGTGTTTTCCTGTGGATCCGCTGACTCAATAGAATTAGTGGCAGAATGTCCTAGATTAACACACATACGATCAGGTACGAAAATAATGATTATTTAAATATTAGCATCCGACCGGCCTCGTTATCGGGTAGAATTAAAAAGTAGATAATCGTAGGAGTTTGATATTTCGATATTTGTGGTTCTCGGTGTACTAAGCCTTTATATATAATGTTTGAGTGACTCAGATATACACTTACCTACCCATATGATTTATTGATGAACACCGTGATGAATAAATTACTTAGCGTGTATTACTGTTTGAAAACGCTTAGGTGTTATTTGTTGAAATATTTAAAAAAAAATCAAACATGAATAGATTTTTGGTTTCAGCAAAATACGATCCAATTTCTTAATCAATACAAATTAACCTAAATTTGCATAATGTCTGAGCAAACAATTTCGAAACTATCAGTTAATAATTTATTGTCGTTTTGTGTGTATAAGGAAACACAAACAACCCTAAAAAGTAATATAAAAGAGACATAACATCACGGTAGCCCTTGTACTACTTTTGTAAAATGAATTCATATTTTATAGTATTATAGATTATATTTTACCAAAATCGATTTCACATTAGTGCAGCAATATTAATAGTTGTGGTTCATAACTATTTGGTATTCAATCGTAGAAAGTATTAAAAACAAACATCTTTACCTAAATTCGATCTGCTCAAAAACGATCAAGATTAAAATGGTTTATTAAAATTAAAAATAGATTCTCTTCTGTGTTTTTTTCCACGGCTTGGTCAAAAATCCAGGAAATGTTGAAAAATTAATTGTTTACAACACCATCTATGATGATTTTATTATCTTAAGAGACGTTTTACTACGGTGCAAATCAAGAATTTCAGCTTTTTTGCTGCCAAAAATAGTTCCACCTCCAATAATATTAAAAACCACTCTGTACCATGTCTGAGCTCACTGTAGCCTGTATAAGGCCAAGCGAATTATTTCTATAATATATTCGTCAAAAGTAAGAGTATATGTATAATATAACGCTATAAAAATAAAAATCATATTTTGAAAACGATTGATTATAATATTTAACTTCAACTTAGTGAAATTGACGTGTATGCGTCAAGTGATCGTTCGTACGTCAATTCAGTGCCCGTCAGTTTAATGCATAGTTAATGTATCGTAATAATATTATTTTACTAATAAACGTAATTAAATAAATCGACGTATGCGCAACTTTATTTAAAAAAATAAATACATAAAAACTTTAGAGTAGGTGTTGAAATGATAAATTAGATACCAACTTTTTTATCGTTTACAATTTATTGTTTTAATTTTTAAATTATTTCTTTAAAAATGTCTTTATACTTTCAATTTTAAATGTTCATGCACGCCTTTCATAAATGATTAGACACTCCACATATTCTAATTATTATGACTTCAACATCCGCTGATATAATTTTTTGATTAAAATTAAATTGTTTTAATTTATTTTACCATATATTTATATCGATAATGCAATGGATTGACATGTGCTATAAATTTATTATGTAGCAAAATTGAATTATCATGACGTAGGTACCTACAGGAAATTATGCTATAACACTGAGGCAACTAGGTCAACGTTAACGTACATATTATAGTCATTTTTATCGTATAATTCGAACAGGAATTTATTAATATTTGTTGTATTTCCCTAGTATTTATCTTAACTCAAATGGACCTTTTTATAACTGCTATATGTGCTACGTTATATCAAAATGGAAGCAAATAAATAACAACACATATAAGAATGTTGATAGTTGAAACACACTTTTCGATTTAATTATTTTATGATTTGTTTTTTATGGTATGGTTAAATAAGTTGTTATTTTTTCTATTGAAAACACTTTTTGGTTGATTACATTTTTTTAATACCTATTTAATAATTGTTATATTTTATAAGCAACATAATGAACATATTAATTGCTTGAACTATAAAAATATTTTCTTTAAATTAGTTGTATACAGTATACACATAACACTCGGTTATAAATAAACCTGTATCATTAAATAATATTTGGGCTCATTGATGGATATTATATCAACACGTAATTTGACAGCAACGAAATAATTTTCTAAAATTAATTCACCAATCAACTTAGCGATAACTTCTTCATGTCATTTATTGATTTGATTTTACTCAACTTCAACTATACTTTGCAAAATGTTTAATAAATAGCTTTTTAAATTCACAAAACGTCGATTTCAATCATTATAACTTTTCTAGACATGTCTTATAGATGAGAAAACGTTACATTTTCTTTAAGATATTTTAAGTAGAAGATAGAAACTCAATAATTTAATAATATTATAATATACTCTACTATCATCCTCATCTTCGTAAAGCATTATTAAATTTATTAGAGCAAGTTGATGGTTACGCCAAGCGTCTTTATAACTAATAAACATTTTATTATTTTTAATATTGTTTCGTCCATTATTTATTTATTTTATGTGTACCGCTATTGCATTTTATAGTTTCCATGTTGTTAATTTTATTTTCGACGAGGTCACGAGTAAAATGTTATTAATGCTTTCATCTTGTGTCTTTGTAATTATTATTACCACAAGAATATATTTGATAAAACACATTCATTATTATAAGCTTTCGATAAAAATAGAATGTTTTTAAATGATTTAATGTAAATTATAAAAATAATAATATGCTTAACTGCATTTTTGTTTAAAGGTCTAATAATCAATACATTTAAATAATATCTTGACTATAAAAAAAAGTAAAACAATTATTTACCTACAAAACTTATAATTTAATCTATTTTGTAAGTATCAATAAACGTTAATTAAGTCTTAACTTTTTAATTCGACGTAATAAAAGTTCATAATAGTTTAAGTACATAATTAATTTAACAATAAATAAAATAAAATTGCCTATAATAATGAAAAACAATTGCATTCCTATGGTTTTCAAATCATTGCCATATTTAATAGTAGTTTAAAAACTTAACGTAATGTTAATAAATCCCATAACTCCATATTATGTATATATTTTAAAATTTAGTTTAATTTGTTTAATAGGTAACCTTGGTTTGAATTTTGTTCACACGATAAATGCAAACATTATTGTTGCTCTTTGCCCATTTTATCTAAAACACATAATTTTTTTTTTTTTTTAAACCCTTGTTTGTAGTAGTATTTATATTAACAAAACATATCATGACATAACTTTTGGAATACAACAAAAGACAGTACAACTTAAAACAATAAACATGTTAACACTTTTTTCGGAAGTTTTTTTTTAAACCGGATACTCTCCCTATGTTCTGTATTTATAATAATATAAGTGCATAATTTTGTTACAAAAACAAGCTGGAACAAAACGAACCGTATTGTTCGCCAACAATGTTGCTTTTATTTGTCATGTCAAGATGTTTTTTTTTGTGAGCCCCAAAACGAAGTTTATGATTTTGATGATTTTAATTTCTGAACACCAAAATCGTATATAAATTGTCCATATTAACACAAGTACCACTGAAATCTTATACACGAAATTATAAGTGCATATTGCAATATATTATAGTAGGTGTGCAATATACTTGGCCAATCTATATATTTTTGGGAAAACATGCAAGCGTTCTAAATAGATTATTGTGGGATTATTTTGGACTCCATTAGGCTTATCCCCTATGTAAAATGTATACAATTTAAGATTTTTTTTCAACTTTTAATTTAAAATATATTTTTACGCGAAAACATTTTTTTCTACTCTGTGAATACATTTCACGTTCATTAATATAAACAACGAATATTAATTAATTTAAATCCACTAGAAACGTTTGTATGTAATAAATTATGACATTTTGAAAAAATAATGTTTTCAACCATCATGTTTTGAATAAAAACTTGGTTTATGTAAGGTGTTAATTTTTCAATTTGTATTTTGTATTATAGTTTATAATTTTAAAAACTGAAATCAATAAACGTATTTTAATATTTTGTTATGAGTTAAGTTTAAAATTATTTTGTTTGATAACTTATCAAAATTCCAAACAAGTTTATCTAGATTAGTACAATCTCTATTTTAAATATTATGTTTATCAATAGCATTATTATCGCAAAAAATACTAGTAAATGGTCTATTATACATTTGCACTATAGTTCATTATCGATCACAACATTGGAATTATAATATGTTACTGCAGTCGCCCTATCAAAAAATAAACGCTCAGTATACTGGTTAAATTATCTAAACCTAACGCATTCATTAAACGAATAGTCATATCCACTACATTATTTTGTATTTCATTCTTTACTCAAAAAAATCGGTTATTATAACAATTATGTCATAGTGTAATGCTATATTATGTTGGATTTTTTTAGGTATATTACATTGTTAGCATAATACATCATAATTAATAAATAGGTATTATTGTACCAACGTGAACGTAATATTATTTTAAATAAAATATAATTTCTGATAAACCACAGGGATGTATCAAATTTGCCTACATAGCGCCCCGTGTTGCTTTTTATAAAAAAAAAATCCAATATCATTATTACACGAATGCAGAACATAATGTCAGTTGGTTTAAAATTTATTTTCTGATAAATAGTTCGGTTATATATTTTATTATAATACACAAATTTAGTTTTTTTTTTATGGCCTACGGGAAATAAAACAATTATTTTGCATGGAAACTACCATTTTGTGTGTTAACGCAATATTAAAAGGAGCATTCATTTCCAGATATGACTCAAATAATAAAAAATTATTGTTTTTAACTTGGTTTAGATTAACTGTGTTATTTTCAACAAAAAAAAACAACATTTACATGTAACATAATTATTGTTTTAAAACTAGGTATTATGAAACTAATTCATAATAATTCGTTAAAAAACGTAAAATGCTTTCAAATTAATTGTTATAGATGTATATTTTTCGATTTCCCGTTTGTCAACCCCAATTTATATGATTTTTTTTTTCAAACATCGAGTTTCAAATGTAATGAATTAAACGGTAAGTTCTATTCACACGAGTTGTAGGTGTATATAGGGTACTTTTAGTTGAAAAATGTTAACGT